TGAAAGCCATAAATTTTCGTGTTAACTGGGCTTTCGCTCACCCTTCTTCCTCTCCGGTGGGGGGAAGGGAGGGAACATCGTGGGTGCAGTGTTTTTGGCTTCCAGCACAGTCTAAACCACCACAAGATGTAAGAAAAACACACTGCTGTGCTCGGACTTTGTCTGAAGGAAGTTTACTGGTTTTTAAGTACTTCAAAAGCTGCAAAATCTAATTCAAAATGTTATATAAATTCCATGGTTTTACAGCTATAGAAAAAGGGGTGCAAAACCCCACCTTTTTAATAGGGTAACGTTTTACAACCACTTTGCATGGCAACAAAGAGAAAAGCTACAAAAAGCCACTTGGAATTGTGCAGTTCAGCTGCATCCATGAGCAAGCAGCTCCTGTTGTTGACAAATGAGAATTGCTTGACTTGACCATAGGCAGCACAAAGTCAAGAAATATTAATAAAATGTATTCTTAACTTCATTTATTTCTGCTCTTTTTTGTTGTGACATGACAGAGCATTTGGGGTCAAGTGCCAAACTACGGTGGAGATGGAGTAAAGCACCTTTGTCTAAGCCTTCGCTGACACAGACTCAGCCGTGACTCAGACAGGGTAAGTTAACTGATTATACTTAACTTTCTCTACTATGGTAAAATGAGCTGCAAAGAGAACACACTGAAAACCAAGAGCCTCTAAATATTTTTCCCTTTTATGGAATAGAGCTCCCAGATCTCCATTTCCTGGAGATTGTACTATAAGCCTACATAGTGGTAAAAGAAAGTTCTCTGCATTCACTGATCTATATCTGACTACAAATTTGAGCTCAGGGGATCATTTTATTCCTAACTATTTTAAGCAGTAAGTTTGCAGTAACAGACCACAATGTTAAAAAGCACTCCATCTTCTCTTTTATTTTGTTTTCTTACTTTTTTTCTTTAGGTTGTCTCCTTGTAATGTGGGAATGAGCAGAATCTGGTGAACAGGATAGGTAATTTKTTTGTGATTTTTTTTTTCACTCATTTTGTAGGTGCACAAGGCTCATGCAGACTGAGACTGTAGATCTTCAACCACATCCACTTTGTCCGTGACATGTGAGTTAATTTCTAAAAGTATTTAATTTTAAAAGATCATTTGAAGCTCTTGCAATTTCTGAAAGACTGGAGTTTTGAGGGAGATCATTTACTTCAATAAAACACTATAAAAATGTCATAACATCCTTTGATAAGATGGAGGCAGATTAGACAGAGCTTGGTCAATGAAGAAAAAAAGAAAGAAAAATAGAAATAAGAGGATCTTGAAATTATCTCAGTGCCTGTTTTTAAAGGTCAGCTATATTTTTTTATCTGTCCTTTCAGTGTTTTCAGGGCCAGTAATTACAGGTGTTTAAGTTGGTAATTCACTATTGCATGTATTGTTAACATATCGTTTCCTTCTTTGACTGACACATGTTTATGCTTGTGGAAAGGAGATTAAGCTGGCAAAGCTAACATCAACAAGATTGCAAAGGCAATTCAGCTGTCAGCTGAGCCATGCTTAGAACAAGGTTAGTCGTGCTCTCCACGCTATAGCTCAGGGTTTGGTAAGGCTGTCAGCTGATTTTGTAAATAGAGGTGGAAATTTCTGTAAAAACTAAGGCTGCACTCTTCCCTAATGCTCTGCTGAATAAGAAAAAATGTACCTTCCAGTGACATAAATTTTCCAAGGACATGTCTTTATTGTCCACCTACATTTCTGAGATATGTCGGAGCAGTCATTTGCTGGGAGACAGGAGAGACACAGAAACGACCTCGTAGACGTGGTTGAACATGCAACCTCTTCAATTTTATTGTGCAGTACAGGGATTTTTATACCCCTGGTTCGTAACGGTGATGGTGGTTAAACGTAACACTTTTTGTAACAGAGATAATGGTAACTTAACGTTCACAAGCCCCCATAAAATCCCTTATATGGCAGTTCTGCCCTTGCAGGAGGCGCGTGCTGACTCCCCTTGCCATACAGTTACATCGGTGTTTCTCACGGCCTCGAGGGTACTCGAGTCAGACCCTAYTGGAACAGTTACAGCACCTGCCGGCTGCTGGCCAACGGTGGCCAACGGTGCGGATTGTTCCAGAACTTTCACGGGTCTTCTCTGCCCTTACCAGGCCTAGGCCTCATAGTGGCTTACCACAGAGATACAGATAAGCTCCTCTAATTTTTGTRGAGTGTTCTCACAAAGCCCCCTATTTCTATATATTTTGACTCTTTGTGACATTTACTCACTCTGTCTTTATTGCCTAACTAAAGTGGCATACAATTACTTCAGCAGTGATGGAAGAACATTTATTCACTAATATCTCAAGGTTCCATCATTTGTAAATGTTTGCCTTTCCTACCAGTATCAGAAGGCAGTAAAGATCAGAAAATGGCAGAACTCCTTGCAGAGCATGGTTGTGTCCATTTGCATTTATAATATGTGATGTTTGTGCTGGGTAAGCATCATAAAGTCTTTAAAAAAATCTGAACTACTGATTGTGAGAACACTGCACAGGTTAAAACTAAGCTTTTAGACAGAAAAATTAACTATTTGGGGATTCTAAACTATATAGTTTATTAATTTAACTACATCCTTATACTGAAATACCGGTATGTAATATCCATCAGTTTGGCAGTGTCCAGGACTGCAGCAGTGCAGTCAAGGTGTGCAAAGATGGTGTTTGTTTTAAGAAGCTTAAGAATATGAATAATTATGTGCAAGCTTTTACTGCTCCAATATTGTCCTCTGGGATTTTCTGGAGAGGTATTAGGAAGAAAAAAAAAAAGGGAAATCAGAACAAAAAATTTTCCTACTGATCAGCACAGAGATTTGAAGCTTATTCCTATTTGCAAGATAGCTCTGTAAGGAAATCAGAGTAAGGCTCTAATTATGTCTGAGACAGCCTGAGCTCAGTCCACTCCGAATCTGAGGGTTGTTAAGGTGGCATAAATTCATCTTTCTACCCTCTGTTCTCCCTTGGCTGTACTTTCTGTGCTGTGTCTCTAGGACAACATAGCTCATGATTTGTCCCTTTCTATTCTTAGACAAGCCTCCTGATTTATTTCTTATTCTTTTAAAGTTTTTTTTGTTTTTTGAATCTGAAAAATTAGCTGAAACTTGACATCCTTAATAGCTCTTTCTTGTTTCAAGATAACTTGCATTACTTTTTTAAGTTCAGTATGTACTAAAAACGCAGCTAAGACTGGGAATAAACCACTTTGGTGCAATAGCTTGTCCAATTCCATATCAACATGCTTTTGCCATGACTCGAAACATCCCTAATTTTTCAGATCTAGCATTCTGTTGGGTTGAATGTATCAGAACCATAATAAATTCATAAGGCAAACACTACGAGGGATTAGATGAACAGCCAGATTTATGTTTTTTTCTCCTTTTTTCTTTGTTTGATTTTGTTGTTGTTGTTGTTTTTTGGGGGTTTTTTTGTGTTTTTTTTTAAATTTGAATTGGAGTTCTTGCAAGCTCAAAAATTGTATAGAATGCCAGGATTTTGTTACAGAGGAGACAAGCAAGTCTGTGTCATTCTTTTTAGTTACCCTGCTCCCATCTCATCTTCATATTTTGCTAATAGTTGTTCTTTGATACAAAAATACTTAATTGTCAAAACCCACAGATGTTCAGTGCTACTGCTATCTGCCTAATCACTGTGAGTATATTAAAATATATGTAATTATAAATGCCTGGTTTTCATCATATTAGGAACCTTAAATATATTTTGCCTTAATAACCATTTTTAAAGCTTTTAATTCTTAGAAAGTTTCCTCCACTCTTATTTAAACTGAGAAGTGGGTAAAATCATGATATAAACACGAACTTCCACTTCCTTCAGTAGAGATAGAAACTCACCTGTCACAGGTTCAACATGTCTAGAAAAGCTCAAAACATGCTGTCCCTACAACACACACTGCTCCAAAAAATCTTTATGCCCACTGATCAAAGAGTATCTTGATCTTCATAATGATATCATATATGCTGCATCATTTGCAGAGAAATTATCAAAGAACTGCAATGAAATAATTGCATTTTCCTGAACATCCTTATACTTGTGTAGGATCATTTTTACAGTCTATTAGTTCTACATTAAATTTCACATGAGATGGCCTTGAATTCCTCTTCTAGTGAAAGAGTAAATTAGATTTCCAATGTAATGTAAAATAAACCTAATAAAAGCATGAGACTTGGCTGCTTCTGTAGTCCAAAGTTTTCGCACATTCTGTAGGTTTTATAACACAGATTTTTTTTCTGTGAGCTGAGGTGAGACTGCTTCAGTATTTCTTGTGAATGGTTTTAACATTTTTTTTTTTTTAAAGCAACAGATTTATTTTGACAGATGTAATTGGCAACAGATTTATTTTGACAGATGTAATTGGTAACCTCAATAAACCGACATGTTCCTGAATACATGCCTTTGCCCACCCATGAAATGGAAGGGAAAACTGTAGAAGGTTAATTTACAATGTAGTAGTCAGCAGTCCCTAGTGCAGAGATCAGTCTGTGCAGTAGGTGGTCTGAGATGACCATGCTTTGTGTGACCTGCAGGCACGACCAGGGCGTGCGGTGATGTATTGATGAGAGCACTGATGTATTAATGAGCACACTGATGTATTGATGAGGTCAGTTCCCTGATTCCTGGGCAGGTATCACAATAAGTATTTCAATCCATCTGCTGCCACTCTAAAGACTGATTTGTGCTTTGCACTGCTCATCCTCAGACTTTGGTACAGGCTTTCATGCTGATGTTATCCTTGTGAATGCAGTGCCTCCCCTTGATACCAATAACAAGAATTTTCTCAGCTGATAGGTAGTGATTTTTTTCCCCTCTTTGGGCATTTCTGCTGTTTTGTTTCGGAAGTGTCTTGTACCCTGTTGTCTTGTGCAGGGGTGCACCAAATCTTTGAAAAATTCACCTAGGCCTGGCTCTTGCTTCAAGGAACAGTGCCACCCTCTGGGGTTCCAGTTTTGGTGCTCTGAGATCTGAGACCATGCTCTGTGACATTAAGACTTTAGTTACTAAAAGGCATATTGTGGAACAGATGACTGAGAAGGGACCTCCTCAGTTCCTGTCAATGTCTGCAGGGTGGTGTCAGAGGATGAACCCAGGCTCTGTTGAGGAGCTGCTGAGTGCTGAGCAGCAGGACAAGAGGGAGTGGGCAGAAACAGTTGCACCTGTACATGAGGAAGAACTTCTTCCCTGTGCAGTGACCAAACACTGGAACAGGCTGCCCAGAGAGGGTGAGGAGTCTCCCTTACTGGAGATTCTCAAGAACTTCCTGGATGCAATCCTGTTCCATATGCTCTAGGATGACTCTGCTTGAGCAGGGAGGTTGGACCAGATGACCCACAGTGGCCCCTTTCCAGCCTGAACCATTCTGTTGTTCTGTGATATCCAGGATGCTGTTTACTTCTAAAAGGATATTTAGAGAAGGTAGTTTGCTCACATCATAGTAACAAAATGAAAATCTGTCAAATGGAGAAAAGAGACGGAAATAGCAACAAGAAAGGATGGTTTTCTCTTTTGAATGCATTTGCTAAGTTATACTTGATCTTGAAAGCTTTAGTTAATAAAACACAAGATAGCATTTTTAATTTTAAACCTTAATACTGTTCATTATTGTAAAGTCATCTCACTCATAGAGCACAGAGTTTTAAATGGATTTGATTTGTATTTTTGGCATCTAACCCAGCCTGCAGATCACGAGGCCTCCCAGCACGTATGCATTCAGGCTAACTTGAAACAGATACTCCCAGCAGTGCATGGTCCTCTTAGTCCACATTGTTGCAGCTCCACGTGCTTCACGCTGCCCACCATGCCAACCTTACCTGAAGACAAGGGACAAGCAAAAGAGGCACAGCACAACAGTTTTATTCCAGCCAAAGTAAGCTCTCTTACTTACAAAGGTGTTTTCTGACACTTGCTGGAAACTTGAGGCTGAAACCTGTTTGTGTATACTTAAAAGTATGTAAAATGAAATCTGTTTGTTGCTTTCTATTAGGGCATTTTGCTTAAGTGATGAAGCTATGAGTGATCCTTCAGTTGACATTCTTAGAGTTCCCCAAATATTTTGTAGGTTAAGGGATAAGAACTTAAATTGCTCAAGCAGTTGTTTATCGGTTTGATCTGGAGGGCTCTAAATGGTTCAGAATGGACAGATACATATCAAAGCTGTCCAAAAATGTCCTTTCTGATGTTATTAAGAAAAACTTAAAACTTTGAGAACAGAAGTTAGGCTTGTACTTCACAGTAGTCTTGGAACAATGAGTGTTGCTTTTACAGATATAAAATATATGCATTTCATGTATGTTTGAAAGATCGAAATGGGCTTTTTTGGTTTGTAGTCTTTCTTGGTGCTTTATTTGCCACAGCAGTAGCTGAACATACTATGGAACTATACTGAGAGCAGGTGGGTGCTCCCCAGACATATTCATCAGTTTGCCTCAAATTTGTGTGGCATCTACATGTGTTTACATCTTTTCTTTCCAGATAAATATAAAAATATCAATAAGAGATGGGTGTTCCCCGTTTCAATAATCTGTACCACATATAAAAAGTAACTTTATGTTTTAAAAACTGGAGTTAATTTTTTTTAATTGCTAGTTTAGCTGAAATGAAGAACCTTACTCTGATTAAGAAATCACAGGTTATCCAATTCTTCATTTTTATGCAAACTAGTGTAAAGAAAGAGAAGATTGAACATCTGCCACATCCTTAGTTAAAGGTGTAACACTGTCATTGGATTTGAGGATGCTACATTCCACACTTTAGGTGAAAACACCCTCTACTATAACATTGTTGGAAAATATTGTCAGCAGTGAGCAGTGCACTGATTTGTCATGCCTTCCATCTAAATTGCACAGGGTGTTGATTGTTTATTTCCTGCCTTATGGTAAACAACCCTGGTTGGATACAAGATCATCAAGGCTACCAACAGATGACATATATTGACGCAAGAAGATTTTATTGGAGGTTTTTAACTCACTTATGTGAAAAGTATTTTAGAAAAAAGTCGTTGTCTAAAACACACCCGAAGAGGAAAAGTAGGAAAATCTAGCAGACATCAGTGATTCTAATTCTGAAGGTGCTTGTTGAATGGGAGAAATGAAGATTTCCAACCACCTAATCTAAAAACATTATATTTTTTAATACATTTTTTAGCCCCTTTAGAGGTAGGTCTTAAGTGAACTATAATAATGTGATAGTTCATGATTCAGTTAACTATGCAAAATGCTTCATTTTAGATAAATGGTTATTTTTAGGCACAAAGTAGCAGTGGGGTGATTTTAACCAACACTGCTCATGAACCTACTTAAGGTTTGGCACTAACCAATGTTGTGTAAATTTGATCTTGCTCATAGCTGTTGCCACTCTTGGCTCTTGCTGCAGACCAAATTCTACAGCATGACCATAAGTCACTCTCAGTAAAGCAGCTTATTGTGAGATAAGGGATTGAAAGCAAGGAGAGGGCATCAGAAGGAGCTAACAACTGGTGGATTTGTTTTTTGCCATTCAACAAAATTTTCCAACAACCTATTTTATTTTTATTTAAAATTGAAATTATATTTTAAATAAATGTATTTCCAAGTAATTTGAGAGAAAACCATGTGGAATTCTTAACAAGATAACTTTAAATTATTTTCTGGCGTTTGGGGTATCATGTGTACACTTATTGCTGGGTTTATTCAAGCTTTCAATACACAGAAGTATCATTTGTAGGGTTTATGTGCTTTTAATTTAGCCCTGTTACACAGAGCTGCTTTTCACACTTGCATTCAGTTCATCAATTCACTGAATTCACTCTTGTACATGTCCTTCAGTAGAGGAATGGTTTGCTGTGTGAGAAACCAGAGTGTCTGCATTTTTAAATCTTTCTCATTAGCTCCATGCTTATTGAATTTAGCTTGCATGCATTAAACTTTCTCAAGAAAACAGATATTCCAGGTCTCCATCATCTCTTTTGAGTAATTTAAGTATAGGCCTCTAATTCACATTTGTTTTGTCAAATTAGAGCTACTTCTCTCTTATTGCAATTATTTTCTCTTTTAGGTACGTTGAGCAATACACATTATTTTCCACATAGAGAGTCAATGTTCAGTGGTTTGAACTTCTGTTTAATTGCATTTTTTTATTTGTCGCCAACCATTCAGGACACAACTATTGAAGGGACAACATGCAACACACCGTCTACTGTTCTTCCAGAGAATGCTGTGACACCAGATGTAGAAATTGATAAATATCTGGTTAACAGGTACTAAATAATGCACTACCAATCCATCCATAAATTGAAAGTGCTATGTTTCTAAAACATTGCTCTGAAATGTATATTGTATAAAAATATTTTTGCTGTATCTCTTGTGATTTGGTCATATTGTCTTTGCATTTTGATGATAGTGTTTGGGATGCAGGGTGGGGGAACAGGAATATAATTGAGACTAAAAGAGTGGAGTTACATTTAGTACTGAACCTGACAACCCAACTCATTGAGTTGGACAGTTTAAATGTCTAGTTTGAATGCTGTAATACAATGAGTTTTGAAGCAGTTTTGGGCTTGTTCACATAGATGGGACAAGAATACCTCCTTGAGGGTAAGAGTATGTGAAAGTAAATCATTGAATAGAAATAGTAATCCTGTCTGGAGTTGACACTTGCAATTCAGTTTTGAGTTGAATTATGGTTATTATATTTATTCAGATAAAGAATGCTTCCTGACCTGGGCTTTTTAATTTTATTGACCTGTCACTAAACTTAAAATATGGGGAAAAAACATACCAGAAAGTATATATCATAAATCTATAATTTGCATGTATTTTTAATAGTGTACTTCTCCAAACTTCAAGATTATAAGATTAGTTTTGAATCAGAATTTCAGTGCAACCCTTTAAAAGCAGAATTATTTGCAGCATTTGCATTTTTCCAGTTGTTTGAAACTTTTAGCTGGTTTGCAATAGAGAAAAGTCCCATGCAAGTGTCAATGTGGGAGCCTGAGAAATTATTTCAGCCTTAAAATTTAGTTTAAGAACCAGTAAAAATCTACAAAGACTAAGTATTTTTTTTTTGCTATATATCATTCTTACGTGATTTTTAAGTCATGTTAATAATCTAAAGAAATGTAGGTTATTTCTGTGAAATCAGGTTCACAGTAGGTGAGATTAATAACGAATTTTAGAATTCCTTTGTGAGATTGATTTCTGCAATTTTCCTTCTTTCTACAATCTCCTTCATTTTCCAGTTGTTTATAGATGAGAGGAACTGCAATAAATGCTTATTTTGTCTTCCTTTTTAAGTCAAAGTGCTTTTATTTTCTAATATTAATTTTTTATAGCCAATTGGAACCTTTTTTAATGGCATACTCCACAATATTTGCTTGTTCATTTTCTCTCTAGGCCTTGTAGTCCTCATAGGAGACATTCTAACCGTGCCACCAGGAATTCAACAAGTTCRCTGACTTCTGTTGGTAAGAAGTGATTATTCAACAAGGATGTTTTCTCAGAAATACAATAAAGACCTAAATATAGAGTCTGACTGTGCTAACAATAGTTTTTCCCTGTGCATTCCATGTAATGCTTGCACAGGGAATGCTGCTGGAATGTTGAATTGTGATCATGAGTTTGTAGGTAAACTGCATGCAGACCAGTTCAGGGAAATACACACATTGTTACTTTTAGCAAGTTGATAATTGATGCAATAGCTTAACGTTTTTAGAAGGTTGGCAATACACACACTTAAAATTTCTTGTTGAATATGAAATACTGTTCAGTAGTACAGGTTTTGTTACATTTGAACTTAACTGCCCAAGGAAGGTAGAACTTACCATACCTTGCAAATATCTTTTGCAGCCACAGGGCAAGTGTCAGGGAACAACTATCTCTCAGACTTCCAACACACAAATCTTAGTTTCAACGAAAACACATGTTTCACTGAAAATAGATTGTTTTAGAATATTCAGTCTGTGAGAATGAGTTTTGACGTTTGTGAAATTGATCTAAATTTAAGGGAATTAAAGTCAAAGCATTTCTTCTTCCGCCCAGAAAAATCAATCAAAAAACAACAGAGAAGCAATTCAACGCCTACAAGCCAAAAACCCTTGAGTTTTTGCTGCTTACTTATGTCCTTGACTTTTCTGAAGACTGATGGGTCTGTAATGGCTCTTTCAAATTTTAAAATATTTTTCTTTTATTACATGATGATTTTCCTCCCCCTCATCCAAGCTGTTCTTTAGATGCTTATAAAAGCCATTTATACTGACTCACACAGAAAGGGGTTTTCTGACAGCTGACTGCCTTCTTCACTTCATTATAGGCTGGAGTGCTGTAAAAATTGGTGCTCAAAGTTTAGTGTTTTCAACCAATTTGAAATCCACAGATTAATGAAGTGTTAAATTAATTTTTAAAACTAGTGTGCATAAATCTTCCCTGGGTGAGCTTGTGGGTTTTTAGCCTTGAGAAACTGAACATGAAAATTCCATTAAATTTCAGTCTACAGCAGAAATGCCACAAGTGTTAGTTGAGATGGATCTAATGGCTCTTTTATTTAGACATTAGAAAATCTCTATTGGAGACACAGCTGGAAATGCCAGTTTCACATATTCAGAGCATTTTTGTTCACAGTGACTTAATTGTAGTGGGTTATCTGTGTTTTTGAGGGCTTGCTCTAAACTTGAGATTATAACAACATTAGAAATGAGCAGATATTAATTTTTATTAATTAAAAGCTCAAAGCTAAATTTGTGTTTGTTGTGTGTTTGTTACTCTGACATGCGATAATGTACCTGGAAATCAGAGGTACAGCTCTAATTCTGACATTTTCTACACAGACAACAGGGGTCATGTGATTGATCTGGTAAATGATCTGCTCCCAGATGTCAAAATATCAGAGGAAGATAAAAAGAACCTTGAATTGTTAGAAGAAGCAAAGAAAGTGAGTGAGAGGTTCCTAACACGCAGAGGCAGAAAGTCAAGAAGCAGCCTCCAAGAGTCACCCACAGGTAGGTGCAGATCCTGAAAACCAGATCTTATATTCTGTTTCAAACATCTGTAAATGCAAACATATACTGTTATCTATACATTGTTTCTGTTTACATGCACTTTGTTAATTTGAAGGTCAGAATCCCTCTTGTCCTCCTCATAGTTCCACATAAAACAGAAATGACCTATCCATGTAGTCAGATGTGTCAGGGTAAAATGGTGTAAAATTTTTAAGTGCCTGAATATCATGCTACGAACAGTGTAACAAGAAAGCATGAATTTCTACTGAAACTTGAAAAATGGTCGCAAATTATTGTTTAAATGGAATTTTAGTGTCAAGATTCATACTGCTGAAAAAGCATTCCCTCCAGACACTGTAACACTGACTCATATTCTGAACATAGCCATAAATTAGGCTAAATGGACCAGATCCTCTCATAATAGGATATAATTACTTTGCATTTGCAGCAGAATAAAATGTTTTGTTCTAGAATGTCAATTAAAATTACTTCTCCCCTTGTATGAAGAGTTTGAAAACTGGAACAAAATGCCATTTTACCATGCAATAGGACTTTCATTTTGCTTTGAAATGCCAGTTCAAACAAATTTCTGTCTTAAAACTGGGCTGACACTATCTGGAGGGAAAAACCCCTCACAATTATACATCACCTCTTTTTTTTCCTGAATCCCTCCTGAATCTTCTCTTCTGCTTCATCTCTTCAGTGCTTACAGTATCAGAAAAGTGAGGAGAACAAGGATTCTGTTTCAATAGAAACTTATCCTTTTTTGACTAGTATAAGACATGAAACATACTCTAAACTCCTAATTGCCAAGTGCCGCCTGGCAATTAAAATGACTTGTCAGACTCTGGACAAAAACATGACTGATGACTATGATATTGATGTTTTAATTTTCTCTGAATTCTAAAAACAGAGAAAGTACAAGCCTAAAAAGTAAAATTACCTTTTTGTTTTTGTCTTTGTTCTAATGAAACAGTTTCCCCTACTCTTAGTCCTAAAGTTTCACCCATAGCATCTCGGAGCAACTCTCTCACACTTCCATCAGGTAAAATGATCAAAGAATCATTAAGGGTGGAAAAGACCTCTAAGATCATCAAATCCAGCCATTTGCAGGCTCAAACTTACTACCAAAAATGTATTTGTTTAGTATTTCTTGGGAAGAGTAGATTTGAGCATCTGCTCCTGAATATAGGAGCAGATGAATTCATGAATGTATACAAAATACATTTTTGCATGTACTTTTTTTTTTTATTATTATACTTTTTATTCCTGTGGTGTTTCAAGGTCACATGTTCTATTTTTAAAATTTTATCAATAACAGAGTTTTGAGCAGCTTCGATGGTGCTTCACGTACTGTATATTTGGTGGGTTTTTTTCTTTTTAATAGTATTTTTTACATTTGAATTTTTGTCCTCAATGTATTATGGATAACTGTGCACATATGTGTTTGCTAATGCTATAATAGTAAAAATTTTGAGCAAAATATCAAGATATGCCCCAATTATGCCTGTCTTTCAGGGTCTGATGCATGCACAACCACTAGTATTGAATCAGTATCTCCAGGGCAGGTAAGACCTGAACAGTCTGTGCAATAACCTGGTTATTACAGTACTATATTATGATATGCTGCCTTTTTAGTCCCCAATAAAAACTGTATGTTTGGAATACCATTTTATATACCAAACTTGGATTACTGGTATTTTCTCTGTATACTAAGGGACTAATAAATGTTTACTCTGAAGACAAAAATCCATGAGGCAACAAGTGCTGAAAAATCATGAGCATCTGTTAAGTGTAGAAAACAGAAAGAGATCCAATATAACCCTAATCTCTGCCAAAAACTAATCCCTAAAGTTATTTCATAAATAAATGTGACAAGCAATGTAAAAATTAAGAGATTCAAAGTTCAGCCATGAATATCTATATCTAGCATTTGTAGAATAGATGTGAAAGATAACCTTGTAAGGTAATTTTTTTTTTCTTCCTTTTTTCTTTGCTAGAATAACAGAACTGTGAAAGAGGATGACAGGCAAACTGCAGAGGTAAGTGTTTCACATTAAGAGTTGAACAAAGTCTGCTGGTTTGTCTAAGCACACRTATTATTTACTGATGTGACTTAAACTGCTGCATAAAAAGAAATTACACCGCTCTAAGAAATTGTGAAGCACCTGCAAGTGTAATAAAGGACCATGGGCTTGCAGCTGTCTTTGCATCCTATCATGCACCCTGCTCTAGCTCAGTTAAAATATACTAAATAACTTTATAAGCAAAGTAAAAATACCTACTACAGCCATTTTTGGTGAATGTCAGTGTTTTAGTCCTTCCATTACATTAAGATGATATAATTTAGGAAGATTGCTGTAATGGACTCTGGAATGGGAGATGTTAACTCAGAAGTTCAGAGAGAAGATTCCTAATTCAGTATTCTCTAAGTGCCTTTTAAAAATTACTTATTTTGTCAGCAGTATATATTCAAAAGCAAATGTCACTGAAAAGGAAATGGCTTTTTACGGTGAAAATCTGTCCTTGGGCAGGGGAAAGAGGAATCTGGATTTGTTTCTCTGTTTTATGCATGTTCCTGTACTTTCAGAATGCTGCAAAAGGATTAATTGATCGAAGGCAGAATGATCAAAGAAAGATTTCTCAGGGAGGGTTGGCTCCTCGTTCTGCTGTTTTTGAAAACTCCAAAGAGAAGCTCTCAGACCAAAAAGAAAACTTTGATCCACATAAACATATGGATACCTTACCTAAATGCTCCCCTTCATCTGGTGATGGTGGCAGAATGTCTCTTAACACTTGCATGAATGTGTGTGAAAATGAACTTGGAAAATCATTCCTCAAGAAAGGGAAAGAAAATGATGTTCCTTTAAGGTCCCATCTATCAGGACCAGGAATAGGAAATATGGACTCAAAGCTAAAAATTCCTGTTCCAGAAATGAGGGACCATAAAGTTCCGTGTAAACCAGAATTTAAACTGTGTGGGTTGCATCCTCCCCTATTATGGGCTGTGTCCTGGGATAGCTTGGAGCCTGGACACAAAGAGAAAATCCCTTTGAAATTCGCATCTGAGGAAGAGAAAAGCTTTTTTGGTAATAAATCCAGCAACCAGCTAAAAACATTCAAAGATCTCCAAATCCAAGTTCAACCAGTTCGAATGCAGAAGCTGACAAAGCTCAGAGAGGTAAGTCCTATCACCCCTTGTATCCTGTTTTTAAAAGTCATTTTCATACCCCACTAAACTTCCAGCATTCTTAGCATTATTTTTATCACTGTGAGAAACATACAATGATATCATGGGAAACAGTTTCAGCATAACCAATACAGAATTGTATCATATTTTTCCTTTGCAACTTTCGTAAATTATAACCTGTAAGTAAATTCCATGGAATTATTGTAGTGCTTAGCTGTCTTCAAACAATCATCCTGTGCCCCGTGGTATCTTCAATGTGTAAAGATGTGTGTGCATGTGCTCTTGCATGTTTGCATTTGCAAGATCTCAGAGAACAGGAAATGGGTTTGTAATGATTAATTGGTTATTGCACCTTCTCAKAAAAAGTCTCAGAGGGTCCAGAGCTGTAATAAAACTGGGCATCTCTGAAACAAGGGCAGGTAGAGCATGCCCAGACTTACAGTTCCTAATTTCTAACATGCTGCAAATTTGTCAGCTTCAAAAAGAATAGACTTGGTCTGCAATATCTATTAACTAATCTGTTAAAAAATATTCTAAATGATTAGTAAAATTTAAGAATTAAACCCTAAGAAAAAAAAAAAGCAGAAATGTAATGAAATTATCAAGCACCAAAAGTCTCTATTGTTAACAATGACTTTTGAAGGAAGAAAAAAGAAGCAGCAGGTACTTTCCTGAGCAGCCTAATAACGGTATTTTCCTCGAGCCTTGGTAGTTAATATTTTAATATTAATACAGGGCTGACAGGCGAGATTCCCAAATTCTGCCCTTTAGTTAATTCATTCCCATGGTATTGTTTGGGAATGGCAGCTTAGTTATTCATCTTTTCCTGTTTATATAACACACGTATTCTTAGCATGTTTGTACTGGAAGATTTGATTATAGAGACACTTGAGCCATATAATTTGAGAAGAAATTCTTTACTGTGAGGGTGGTGAGGCCCTGGCACAGGTTGCCCACAGGAGCTGTAGATGCCCAATCCCTGGCAGTGTTCAAAGCCTGTTTGGATGGGGCATTGAGCAACTATGTCTAGTAGAGGTGTCCCTGCCTGTGGCAGGGCAGTTGTAACCAGATGATCTTTAAGGTCCCTTTTAACCCAAGATATTCTATAATTCTTTAATTCTGTAATTTTGAATGACCTAGAATCTCTTAAGCACAAATAAAAGAAAGAATTTTTATATCATGATCTATAATTCCAGTTTGGATAATATTTGAACTCTGTCTCCAGTTGGAATTATCTACTCAAAAAAAAAGCAGGTGTYTGCGAATTTAAATGTGTGTGAGAATATGGAAGAAAACCAGGAGATGATAGAAGGAGAAATAAGACAACAAAGTTTAATACTTGAGAGTGCATTTTTCCCTGCATGTAAGGAATAGAGGCAGAATATAGTGACAGTGAAGCATTAACTTGCAGCTGTAAAATCCCACGTTCTGGTCTTAATAAAGTCAGTGTAAAAGTTTCATATGATTTTCTGAATTTTCTCTGTTTTCTACTTAGTTATTACTGTGGCTATATTCAAAATTTCTGGTTTTATTCTCAGTCATTAAAACACTCATCAAAACTCTACATATTTACTTGAAGAAGAGACACATTTTGCGAATCTGTTTTCATGATTAGGAATTTTTTTAAATAATGCTTGTATGAAATTTGAGATCTATAGTGTGTGTGAATGCACATGTATCCATGCTGTGGAGCATCTGACTATAAATTAATGTAAATATCACTATTATGTTTATTAACTAAAGGAAATATTATACTTAATGTTCACATGGCAGGGACATTTAAATGGCAATTTGTCATTCAGCTACTTAGCAATGTTACTGTTTTTCTTCACAGGAGCATATTTTGATGAGAAATCAAAATTTAGTTGGACTAAAACTTCCTGAACTTAGCAAAGCAGTGGAACAGGAAAATGGTACAGTATCATAACACCTGATCAGAGTGTTTGTTTTACCCTGGTTTTTATAACTGACTATCATGGGGTGGAAGAAAATGTCTTTTTCTTCAAGTGCAATAGTAGTTGAAGCAAGTATGGAGAACAGAAATAAGCAATAAATAAGAGAGACCAATAATGTAAAGTACCTCATTTTCTTGATGATTGAACCATGAAGACCCTGTAGGTATTATTGTGACCAAAGGAAAAGTGGCACACATGGAACCGAGTCTGGCTTGTACCCGATAACTTGAGATCTGAAGTTTCAGTGAATGTCTGTARAAACATTCCAGCAGTGATGGATTGAATGGATGTAACCTTTGATATTGTGGTCCTGAGGGTGAATTTGATCCTCGGGAGTAAAAATAAGAGGGGGAATGCTTTATTCCTTCTTTCTTTATTTTAGTGTATGTGGCTAGTATTGAAATAACATTTTCACTTCTGGTCCACATCAATATGAATGAGAAGAAGTAAGGCCAGAGAAAAGTCATAAATGTGTTTGAAGGGCTGGGAAAATGTGCCTCACAATAAGTGGAATTTTTCAAGCTCAGTTTCTGTGACTTTTAAGGAAAAAATAAGGGAAATAGTTTGGTTTTTTTTAAGGAAAAGGCCTGTCTCGGTTTTGAGACAATATTTTCAGAGAAAAACGTTACAGAGAAACGTTTCCTCTGAAATGAAAATAAATTTGATAATTTTTTCCCCCCAGCAACAAGAAATAGATACTGGGCAAAAAAAGTGAAGAGAAAAAAAAGTAATTTATTTACACAGTGCCCACAGGACACAGATAAAAGGTAACAGTTAGATATTCAAAAGGAAAAAAAACCCCGCCATGCGGCGCCGACAAGATGGCGCCTCCCCCCTGTACACAGATACAGAGTAACGGTTAGATATTCAAAAACCCCGCGGCGCCGACAAGATGGCGCCTCCCCCCTGTACACAGATACAGAGTAACAGTTAGATATTCAAAAACCCCGCGGCGCCGACAAGATGGCGCCTCCCCCTGTACACAGATACAGAGTAACGGTTAGATATTCAAAAACCCTGCCACGCGGCGCCGACAAGATGGCGCCTCCCGACCTCGCGGAAAAAAGAAACAGAAGRAAAAAAAAAACAAACCACGTGKKCTTTCCCGTAACAGTGGCAAAAAGAGAAAAAATCCAAGAAACCTGTACCACAGTCTTTTCTTCCCTGTGACGGGTCAGAGGACTCGGTGTGTTTCTGCTGCCAGCCCGGTTCCCTTCTGGAATTTCCCGGACAAGATGGAGCCGCGCGGCTTTTTTCTCCCGGCTGGAGAGGAATCGCAGGAGAGGCAGACGGGGGTCTGAGGAGAGCTGCCGAAGCTAACAGCCGAAACTGTAACATTGTAACTGCGCAGCACTCTGCGAGCAGAAGGACTCCCACGGAGAGAAAGCTGAGCCAGAGCTGAGCTGGGGAAAAGGCCAAACTGTGTGGCAGCGCTGGCTTTTAAACCGGCCGC